ATGATGAATCAGCCCATTTACAATTCTACGGTGAATGAACGAGAAATGTCCTCCCTTTGGGAATGACCTAAAGACAATACAGTCAGTGGCACTGCCCTGGGGGTAGCAGAAAGCATGAGTTCGATTCCTGTGTATGGATTTGAAGAATTTCTGCCGAGTATACCCGTCTTTCTGCTAGAACGGTATATCCCTCTAAGCCTAAGTTGGTCCTGACGTGTAGGGTCAAAGAGCGCCTTCTTAAATGACCTGAATTGTGTCGATACGGGAGTAATGCACCTACATTTGAATAATAAAAAAAGACCAAGTCATATTATCTATGATCTGTAGCGTTTCCAGTTCTCTAAAAATGCCCTCCAGTTGAGTTGGCAAACATCACAGCCACCCAGATAACACAAAGCTGGCTCCTTAATGATCTAAGTAAAGTTGTGTTGATGGGTGACATAAAACACCCATATTATTTGGAAATAATATCCATGACTTTTCTCGAATCCACTTTTCCGTAATGCTCTCCAGAAAGGAAATATCACAGCCCCCCGAAACGACATAAACCTTGCCTCATGCATGATCTAAATTGTGTCGCTTGGGGAGCAATAACCCACATTAGAAAAAAATGACCTAGTCATAATATTGTTTATGACCTGTCTCATTTCCAGTTCTCCAAAATGCCCCACAGTGGGAAAACATTACAGCCACATGAAACGACACAAATCTTGCCTCCTAAAAGATCTAAATTGTGTCGATGGGGGGTGTAAAACACCTAGATATAACATTTGTATATAAAAAAATGACTTACACTTACATACATAATCCATAACCTGTTTCGTTTCCAGTTCTCCGTAATGGTCTCCAGAAGGCAAACATCACAACCACACGAAGCGACATAAATCTTGCTTCATAAATCATCTAAATTGAGTAGATGGGGGCTTAAAACATTATTACTTACATTATCCATGACCTGTATCATTTCCAGTTCTCCGTAACGGTCTCCAGTGGGCAAACATCACAGTCATCCAAATAACACAAATCTTGCCTCCTAAATGGCCTCAATTGTGTTGATAAAAAAGACTTACATACTTTATCAATATCCAGTTCTCCGTAATGGTCTCCAGAAGGCAAACATCACAGCCACATGAAGCGACATAAATCTTGCCTCCTAAATCATCTAAATTGCTTCTATGGGGGCGAAAAACATCATTACTTACATCATCCATGTCCTGTTTTGTTTCCAGTTCTCCGTAACGGTCTCCGGTGGGCAAACATCTCAGCCACATGGAGCATGCCGACGCCAGAGGAAGGAGCCCCCTACCTGGCCAGCGTGGAAGTCGGTTTGGATCCAGCGTACCGCACGGCCGACTTCTCGTTTGAATCTTGCTGCTCCAACTTCTCTTACCTGTAAGTACTACTACTACTACTACTACTACTACTACTACTACTACTACTACTACTACTACTACTACTACTACTACTACTACTACTATTACTACTACTACTACTACTACTACTACTACTACTACTACTACTACTACTACTACTAAATAGCATTTGTATAGCGCATGTCCCCACTCGACAGAAAGCTCAATGCCCTTTATAGTATAGTATTACCCCAGTAGATCATAGAACACTCAGAAACATTCTTAGCATCCCGTGAAGCACAAGTAAAATATGTGAAAGCAATAGCTTTTCTCTAGTGTTGGTAAGAGTATTTGTACGAGTTTTACTGCACTTGCAACACAGCTAGGACATAAGAGTAGCGAAGACTTGAGGTGTTACTAACATAATTTAGGTACCACTCACCTACATGTATTTTCAAGCACATCATTTATTAATCATACCTGTTACTGGGGTATAAAACCCATACCGTAGGTTTTTAAAACTCTGGACAATTTTTTTCTATTTTATAGTTCAGGCGGACCAGCGTCTGTGGTGTACATTGTAGTAGTTAGGCTCTTCGTTGTTGCACATAGGATTGCCGAGTTCGATTGTCGAGAGGGGTAACTTTTGTTGAGTATCTCCGTCTTTTTGCTGGGGTGTTGTATCCCTCTCAGCCCGGGCTAGGCCTGACAGGCAGGGTAGGAAGCTCGCCTCCTATATGAACCGAATTTTACATTTTGTCGATGGGGGAGTAAAAATATCAGCGTTTTTTTTTCTCCAGGGGAGCTGTTCTGATCCCGGATCCCTTCTCCACTCGAGCAGAGCGCCCCGTACAAGTTCGAAGCCAGCCCGCTATACAGATTGCACCCAGAGACATGCTCAACAAAGAGCGTATTGTCAACGGTACGCTTCTATGTAGTTATCTTCTGTGGTTGAGTGGTTAGGCTCTCGGAATTGTAACCGTAAGGTCGTATGTTCGAATCCCTTCATGGGGCCCGACGTTGTGTCCTCGGTAAAGGCACTTGACACAAATTGTCCTCACTTCTTTCAGGAGGTAATGGCCACCCGGCTATACACAGCAACAGATCTCGATTCAGATGATACCAATTAATAGTGGATTGATTTTTCTCCAGAATGATTATTGTCGAAAAAAAATCCCAACCAACCAACCAACCATCCAACCAACCAACGAACCAACCAACCAACGAACCAACCAACCAACGAACCAACCAACCAACCAACCAAACAAACAAACAAAATGAAAGACGACACAAACTAAAACGAAGAAAAAAAAGGGCATCTGTCAGTCTGTCAGGCCTGTAGAAAATGTATACTTGGAAATAATACACTTACACAAAGACAGTTAAATTAAGAAATCCCTGCATCTCATACAAAAATAAAACATGACTTTTTACCTGCTAAGCACAAATCTATCTATCTATCTATCTATCTATCTATCTATCTATCTATCTATCTATCTATCTATCTATCTATCTATCTATCTATCTATCTATCTAATGTTATTATATATTAACACAATTGTTAAGGCCTCCATTGTAGTAATTATATTATTTTACAGCATACATTATGCTTATCTTGTGTTTGTGTGCTTGCGTGTGTGTGTGTGTGTGTGTGTGTGTGTGTGTGTGT